TTATTTATCAAGAATACGTTTTAATTATTTAACTTATATTGATCAAATAATAAGTTAAAAGGTAGCTAATAAGCTATTTACCAAACACCTCAATTATAAAATTTTAAATTTTGACAGATTAACATTAATCACCTAAGTCAAGCAGCTACTAAACAAATATCGATCTATTTTAAATATTAACAAGTTAATCATTCAAAATTGATCAAATCCACTTGTATTTCATTGATCAATTGTTATCTGATTACCCCATAACGTTGTTTTGATTTTGACGTAGCGTGACATTATACAAAACAGACAAATATAATTATTATTAGTATTATCAAGTGAGAAAGGAGGGTCAACTAAAATAATAATGCACCATCCAATTGCATTAGTAATGGAGACTGAGCCCCATGCACCCATTATGTAGTGACTGCATGTCTGCAACTTGTTAATTGTCTCACCTGCCGCTGCTTTGCTGTGGAGTCTGGATTTTTTTAATATTAATGAGTGATAGATCGATTAAGGATAAGATGAGGCTAGCTAGCTAGCCTATCTATAACACTAATTATTATATTATTAATATTAATATTAATATTATTTATATCCCTATTTAAGATTTACTCCATTTTCCTTTCAAAAGATTGAATCTCCAATCCCAAAAACCTCCACAACTTAATGGAACATTTGGAAGAATATAAATCACAATGACTCAAATCTGTCTACTTTAAGCATAATCTCACACTGTCAATGTCGATATTCAAATTTTGATCTTTTCTCTCAAATACTGTCTACTGAACCATTGAACTAAGCCGGGACAGACATTTAAAATTTACTCCCAGCTACGTACATAGTTTTTTTTTTCTCCGACTCTCTGTCACAAATATTAGGAGTTTAAATTTGTAATAGCCTCCTTAATTATATGTAGAAGTGTGTAATTTAGTGTTGAATTTTAAAGTTTGATTGATTTAATTTAACATCTCATAGGTCTGGGGCAGGTTTATGTGGTCCATTCATGATATAATTCCGTTCCGTAGAAAACTTTAGATTATAAAAGAATATTAATTAAATGCATGCCCATTAATTATCGTTAACGATAAAGAAGCTAGCTGATCAAGATCAATCCCACTTTCTCCAACCACCTTGCCAACATCACTTTACTAGGTTTTAATTACCTCGTCAGCTTTAGGGTGTTTACACCATTAGGAATGGGTTTAATGTTAATTAATTGTTTAATACGGAGTAATAATAATAATAATTATAATTATAATACGAGTATACGACAAATCACCAACGTGAAGGAATATGTCGCGATGTGCGATGTGAAGAAGGCAACGCGCCAATAAGAAAGAAGAGACAAATGTGGAATATAAGACTTCCACGTAAAATACTTTCAACATTTCAAAACAGTATCTGAACGGTCTTAGTTCAATAATTCAGTAAGCAGTATTTAGAAGAAGAGACTAAGCTTCGAACCTCAGCGACAGTAGTATAGAATTATGTTAATGTAAGCAGATCCCTTATGCGCTGGTGCGCGTCGCACCGGCATTTGACTATGTCCCAAATGTGCTAAAGTAGACAAATCCCTTGTGCACACTGGTATTTGGTCCTGTCCCAAATGCTATGTCAAAATCGGGGTGTGGGGATTTAACAGTTTGGTTCCTAAAAATGAGTTAAAGAATAAATTAAATTTAAATTCTTTGAAAAAGAAATTAATTATAGTGTTTAGAAGGTGAAAAATAAGTTGTTATAAATCAGCAATTCTAATAAGAGATAATAATGTTAGGTACTTAACTGGAACAAAAAAAAATGTGGGTAGTATTGTTTCTTAAAATGAATGGTTCATATTATTTTGATTTTAGTATTATTTTTTAATGATTTTCCTTATTTATCCTCTATTATATTATTTTCTTCCATTAAATAACCTAAATTTCGTTAGTATAAACTTTAATAACGGAATATTCCGTTAACTATTTATTATTTTTATCTTACTCATTAATTTCTATAAGAAAGATCTTATGTTCGAACCTTATCCCAATTAGAGTTGACATAATTGCTAAACATATACTACGAATATGTTAAAATATATTTTAAAAAATATATGATATAAAATTAACATAAACTTTGTTCAAATAATTAGCCCGGCTAAATCCATAACATTCAAAGTTAAGCATCAAAGATTATAAATCAAGAACTTTAAAAATCATTTGATTTTTATGCATTTAAAAAAAATTAGGTTAAGTTTTTTTTTTCCATTAATTAATCTTCTTCTGATTATTTAGATCAGAACAAAACTTAATATTTCAATTATACTTTTGCATTATTGGTATGATTTAGGTCGTTATGGTATTAATATTTTTTGTGTGTATTTTTATAATGGTACAATTGTATATTACTTTACAAATATTATACTATTATTTTTTTTATCAGACAAAAATTGTTCTTACATCATTGTCAGGCTTGCGCAACCTAACTACAAAGTTGTTGATCAGAAATACAATTACGCCTGGACTCTAAAACGGTAGGACCATTTTCTAACGAATTGACAATGTTGACATCCCACTGGCTCCAATTGAACAAGTTTACACATCAGAATTGTATGAATACATGAAAACTTCTCAAGACATTTGTAAGTTAATTTTTACTATATTATTATAAAAATTTCTATTGTAACTATATATTTTGAATTATTTATTTTCATCCTCTATTGACGACAGGAATCGTAACAATTGTCATTGACAAACTCTCAAAACAATTTGTCTCAACAACGAATGTAAATTAAAAAAATCAATGATTTCATTATTGTTGATGAAAAGTATGTACGCCACTTTATTACTCTTATTAAATTATTAAATAAAGTAGTAGCTACAACAAAAATAATACATATGCATTTAATTAATTTAAAATTAGATATCTCTAATGTCTTTATTTAAAAAAAAAATTATTCATTATAAAAAAATTAAAAAAATATATAATTTCATTAGTTATATTATCTTTATTTTCTACAATTCAAAGATTCATTACCTTCAAATTTATTAATTTATTATATTCACTACATTGTCCATTGTCTTCTTTTTACATTATCTTGTAATTAAATATCAAAGTTATGCTTTCAGAAAAAAATATCAAAGTTATAATACAAAATATGTTATATATATTTATTTACCAAGTATTTTATACAAATATAATAAATAATAATATTTTGTTTAATACTTTCACATGATAACCTATAACACACATCTCACAACGCATGAAACATGTAGGGGAAAAACTACCACTACTAAATATCAATAGGTGCTTGTAAGATAAAGAGCTAATGGTACAACTAAGATCCTATCATATACACAAAAGGCAAATCAAAAGCTTCCTACATCATAATCTCATTGCACGATGAATCCATCTATGCTACCACCAGTAACCCATCCACTGCACATGACACACTACCAATAAAAAAAAAAGAAGACATGTACTAAAGATGAAGACAATAACAATGCTACCCAAAAGAGAATTAAGAAGAATTAGAGAAATTTAAACCAAAAGTAGTATTTATTTAGACTATCGTTTTTAGACTAAGTATTTAGACTAGCGTTATTACAAAATTGCAAATATTTATTTTAGTGACAATAAAATCAATCTCTCATACATTATTTTGCATTCATATATTTTAAATTACCGATTTAAATAAACAAATTCAATATTTATTTACCTTGCATGAACATCTACAATATAATATTGCATTGATATACTTTGAAATACTTATTTAAAAATAATCATTGTGCATTGATATACTTTGAAATACTTATTTAAAAATAATAATCATTGGGCAATATTTATTTACCTATGCATGAATATCTCCGTTATAATATTGCATTGATATACTTTGAAATACTTATTTAAAAATAATAATTGTGCATTATTTCATTCACGCTAAGCGCGTAAAAGAACTAGTAATTAATATAAAGACTCAAATGTTCTTTTATAATAACTACATGTGACAATAAACTACCAAATAGAGCAAGTAATTTTATTTTTCTTAAATTTTAAAAATTCATTTTCCATTATAATAAATTCTTCATCAATCAAACAAGATAAAATTTTGTTTTTCCTCAAAATTTAAGAAATACTTCTCATTGATTGAACTAAACAGGCCAAAGTGTTTATATTCACAGTTAAAAATTTCTTGATTAAAAGCATCTTTTTTTTTTTTTTTTTTCTGTTGCAATTATTAGAGCTGCATTCACCTGATGATTACATTCTTAAAGTCTTTATGTTGAGTGGAAATATACTTTCTAGTTTCTAATACGTTTGAATTAAAGTAGTATCATAGGTAGACGTTCGTGAATATTATATGGACTCACAAATTTTACTTTTTATATTTAAACTTTATGACGTGGACTACCTTTTCTTAAGAAAAAAAAAATCAAGTAAAAAAAAGATTAGTTACTTGAACAAAAATTGAGTAAAGACTTTAAGTTGATTAGAAATGTACTTTCTAATGCGTCTGAATTAAAGTGGTACCATAGGTACAGACTTATGAATACTATATGAAACACAAAATTTTCTTTTTACATGCACCCAAACTTTACAATATGGACTATCTAGAAAAAGAAAAATGAGTAAAAAAATCTTAGTTATTGCTTGAATAATAAAAATTAAAAAGAAAAGTAAAAATTTTTTAGTTATTTTTGGGTGACGAGCGAAACTCGCATTGTCTAGTAAATTCCACTGTCACTAGAAATTTTATGGTTATCAAACCAACAACTTATTTGAGGTTAATTTTAATAATTACTCTTATCTAAAATAAGATTTCACCAGAAAAGTTATTCAATAATAAAAATATCAGAAATATACTAATAATTTAGAGCATTAAAAGACAAAAACGATAATCTAAAAACAAGAAACATCTATTGGAATTAACTCTTACTTTTAATTTCTTACTTTTAATTAATACTTATTATCACATCATTAGAGTCTGATTGGGTATCTTATATTTGAAGCAGCAAATGTGACAACACAGATCGAATTGTAACACCATCCAGCAAAGAACACGTACCACAAAAGAAGCTAAATATGCGTACAAGGTTAGAGAGAGAGAGAGAGAGAGAGAGAGTATATGAAGGTGGGTGGGTGTAATTTAGGCAGTCAATTATATTATATTGTGCATATATAATCTTGGTTGTCAAAGAAGCAGAGACGATCGGTGGAAGCAGGCGGCGGCGGCGGGGGACACATCCTGTTATTACTACTACTACTACATGTCGTAGTCCATACCCACTCCGACCAATAATTCCACATCGTACAACCACCTTTTTGTTGTTCCGCCCATAATTCCATGTCTTTCCATATATCATCCATTGATGATGAGCACACCTGCTGCTGTTGCTGATGATGATGATCCATCTTCTTCTCTATTTCCTCCTCCTCCTGCTGCTGCTGCGGCGGCGTCGTTTTAGTTTCGTCCTCAAATATTATTCCTCCTGTGTCGTAGAAGTTCCTCTCGTTTGTGGCCGGAATCGGCCGGGAGTCCACCGCCGGCGGGCTGCTGGAGGCGCCGGAAGAGGAAGAAGAATTATTGGAGAGTGATGATGATGATGATGAAGAAGCGCACTTGTTGGCTCTGTCTTCGTTAGCCTTTTTCCTCATGTGGGTTCTCCAGTAGTTCTTGATTTCGTTGTCGGTTCGTCCCGGTAATTTCTGGGCAATTTTCGACCACCTATGTGCGCACACACATAACCTCAATCAATCACAACTACTTTAAAAACAACAATTGTGGATGAATTTGTAAAGCATTCAAATTCATAGTAATTAATTTGATATTTTCTTAACAAGATAATTTTTTTCGTCAAAGGGCTCTCATATTCTAGTCTAACACGATGATCGAAGGGTAATTCAGGTGACTAAACTGTCTTTTAGGTGAGAAGTCACTATTTTGGGTATAATTTGCTTACTAGACCCGCCAGGTATTGATTCTAGATCCTTAGCTTGCCTATAATCTATCACATAAGTATCAACTGATCAGCTGTCTATATGAACTGTTACGTTTTGATGTTTTCTTGCCTACAAAAGCCAAATCTTTTGCCCCAAGGATCCCACACTCCCGCTTAATAGAATGGTGGAATGGTATATCACAAATTCACAATAACTCAGGTCTCTTAATTGAGAGGATTCGTGCCTGATAAAAACTCTTCAGTAACTCCCACACTGCTACTATCATGTCTTACTCTTGTGTTTTTGCCTACCATCTATCATTTGAGCTGTCCACGGGTTATTTTGATGTTTTCTCAAAGTGGGTGTTTTTAAAAATTGACATCATGAATAGTGCATGAAAGATAGAATTGCAAACCTATTGCCCCATTTGGAGTGGAGTTGAAGAATGAGTCGTTGTTCTTGAGGGGTGATCTTGCCACGTTTGAGGCCAGGCTGCAAGTAATTAACCCAACGTAACCTGCAACTCTTTCCACTTCTTTTCAACCCTACCAAAACCATGTGAAAACAAAGAGAAAAAAAAACACAGACAAAAGGGGAAAGATTCATCAAAACTTGCTCCACGGGAGGAAAGAATCATGCCCAAAATAAGTTTACCTATCCAGTTTTGAGATTCTCCCACCAAAACCTTTGCAAACCTGAAACTTTGGCCAGAAAATCCCACCGCCGATCGCCGAACATGTTCACGTAAAGAACCAGCTGAACATCTTCTTGTTCTGTCCATGGACCTCTCCTCATCATCATCATCTTCATCATCTCTTCCTGTGCCATTTTGATAAAAGTTGATGGTAGCAGTGTCCATATGATGGTGATATTTATAGACTTAGAGACGGCATAATAAGTTCGGGTGTGGTTGAGTGGAAGCGACTCATCCATCCTTAACAAATGTCAAGAGTTTGATCTTTAACTTTGAGCCTGGAGCAACCTTAAATCTTCAGGCCAGCTGTTCCACCAAAAGAGGTACCTACAATTTAGCAAGTGTATTAGTCACTGTGTTCGCAATAATATTATGTGGGGGCTTTTAGAGTTTGTTTAATGTGTGTGATGCTGAGATGTCTCTTATCTTGGCCGCCCAAGTGTGCTAATATGTAATATCTCACTTTGGTGGAAGGAATGGAAGCACATATGGGTGTATGATGCAAGCCACTATACTCCACGCACGAATTCAATTCAAGTTATCTTGTCTGTGTCTTTTGTAAGACTATAAAAGGCGATATGTAACTTTGCTTCTGTAACAATAGTAAAGTGTAAGGTTCAGAGAAATTCTTACTATAAAACTGTTGGGAAAATAACTTAAAATGACATAAAATGGATTATAAGTTGCTATTTTGTGGTATAATTATTAGTGGGTCCACTTTCAATTTGGATCGGGTCAAAGTATATTCAGATTCTTCATAGTGAGACAAAGAGATTGATATATTGTACGCTCAAAACGAATAATGGGTGAATGAGAAATTGATTCTCAAAGTAGACCCATTTGAGTTTGAAAAATAAAAAGAAAAATGAAGTTTTTATCCCACATTGGTTTGGGAAGTGGGTTTGCACCACTATTTATACAAAAGCCTTTCTAAAATTTATTGAATTGTATATCATATTAGCATAAAGGTTTCCCCTTGTGTGTAGGGGATGCAAATCAAACCCCAAAATGAGTTTGAATAATTATGGAGGAGCCTTTTTCCCCACCATTAAAGCATACGGACGCCAGGTATAGGGCCGCCCAAATGATCACCAGGGCCACCGACGTCATCCTGTGTCGGGGGTTCTTCGCCACCATGGACAGGCAGGCGCCTGTGTCGGGGGTTCTTCGCCACCATGGACAGGCAGGCGCATGACGTCATCCTGTGTCGGGGGTTCTTCGCCACCATGGACAGGCAGACGTCATACTGGTTTGGGACCCTCCAAGCGTGTGTCGGCGTCATCCTGTGTCGGGGGTTCTTCGCCACCATGGACAGGCAGGCGCATGACGTCATCCTGTGTCGGGGGTTCTTCGCCACCATGGACAGGCAGGCGCATGACGTCATCCTGTGTCGGGGGTTCTTCGCCACCATGGACAGGCAGGTAACCCACCATGGACAGGCAGGCGCATGACGTCATCCTGTGTCGGGGGTTCTTCGCCACCATGGACAGGCAGGCGCATGACTGGTTTGGGACCCTCCGGGCGTGTGTCGGGGGTTCTTCGCCACCATGGACAGGCAGGCGCATGACTGGTTTGGGACCCTCCGGGCGTGTGTCGGGGGTTCTTCGCCACCATGGAAAGGCAGGCGCATGACTGGTTTGGGACCCTCCGGGCGTATGTCGGGGGTTCTTCGCCATGGACAGGCAGGCGCATGACGTCATCCTGTGTCGGGGGTTCTTCGCCACCATGGACAGGCAGGCGCATGACGTCATCCTGTGTCGGGGGTTCTTTGCCACCATGGACAGGCAGGCGCATGACTGGTTTTGGACCCTCCAGGCGTGTGTCGGGGGTTCTTCGCCACCATGGACAGGCAGGCGCATGACTGGTTTGGGACCCTCCGGGCGTCATCCTGTGTCGGGGGTTCTTCGCCACCATGGACAGGCAGGCGCTCTCCACCTTGGCGCATGACTGTTTTGGGACCCTCCGGGCGCATGACTGGTTTGGGACCCTCCCGAAGGGGTCCATCTCCACCTTTGATTCATGCTCTCGTGCTGACAAGGCAGAGAATTGAACGATTCGGCTTTCTTGTCAGAGAATTGAACGATTCGGCTTTCTCTCGTGTTGGGGCTCGGGCTCCAAGAGCTCTACGTCAGCTTGGCCAAATCAAACACGAGTACCAATACAAGTCATGCTTGTATTGAATTGTATATCATATTAGCATAAAGGTTTCCCCTTGTGTGTAGGGGATGCAAATCAAACCCCAAAATGAGTCTGAATAATTATGCAGAACCAACACTCTCATGTTTTGAGTCATGCTCTCGTGCTGACAAGGCAGAGAATTGAACGATTCGGCCTTCTCTCGTGTTGGGGCTCCAAGGGCTCTATGTCAGCTTGGCCAAATCAAACACGAGTACCAATACGAGTCATGCTCTCGTGTTGGGGCTCCAAGGGCTCTATGTCAGCTTGGCTAAATCAAACACTAGTTGACAAGACAGAGAACTGAACGATTCGGCCAAGGCAGAACCAACACGAGTCATGCTCTCGTGCTAAGGCTCCAACACGAGTCATGCTCTCGTGCTGAGGACTCTACGTCAACTTGGCCAAATCAAACACGAGTTGATGCCATGGGTTCGGTTCGGCCAACTAGAGTCGTTGTCGACTCAGGACGAATCGATGGTTCTGACTTCTGGAAGTGACCATTCTAAGCCTTAATTCATAAGTTACGGAACTAATTCAGATTATTTCCAATTTTGAATATCGAATTAAAAGCTCAGCTACTGGCCTACTATTTCAGATGTTACAAAATTGATTTTATATCAGTTTTAAGTGTCATATTAAAAGTTATTGATATCCTCAACTCCTATATAAACAGTGGTAGAGCAGAAGGGTTTTGATATATAACGAAATCATATTTTTTCAGCTCTCAAATTTTTGCTTCTACTCCTTTCTAGCTAATTGTGTTCTTGCTTTGCTCTAGTCCGTCGGGTTCATTCGTTTGGGTGCTCAAACGTTAAACTGTAGTATGTTTTATCCTGGGAAACCTAGGCTACAATGCTCCTACCACTTTTGGGAGGTAACAAATAAGGTTTTAAGGAAAGAGTGATTCACTCGACTCGTGCTAACCACCTACACTAACCCGAACAATATCCCTTCGTCCTTTCCTTCCCTAAATCTCCATATAAGAATAATCCTTTTTCTGCAGGATTATTATTGGGTTTTTCCAACGTTATTTTCTCTACAGTCTTAAAACCTTATTCCGTTGATTTCCCATTGGTTTTTTGTCTCTAATTTCCTTGAAGAAATGGATAACCCCGTACTGCCAATTCATGGGGAGGAAAATGTTGTTGAGAACAACAGTGGTGGGAACGGCAACAACGTTGCAAATTCCCAGGCGCTACCAGTGAATGTTGGTTCACAAGATGGTGGGAGCATCGAGGGGTACATCGCCACGATGCGGGTACCTACGGTACCAAGTGATTCGGCTGAAAGACCGGAGAAGTTCACCGACATCGGATCGAACTTCAAGAGGTGGTAGCAAAAGATGCTGTCCTACCTGGAAACTCTCGGCTTGGCGAGGTTCTTGACCGAGAAGGTTCCTGAGTTGAAGGAACAAGATGTCCAATCCGTGATGACAGTTGGTATTAGAAGGATTCGGACTTCCTATGTGATAACTACATCTTGAACGGATTGTGTGATGCGTTATATGATGTATATCGCAAGATTGGCACTGCGAAAGCGCTGGGGGAAGCATTGGATCATAAGTATAGAAGCGAGGATGCCGACACAAAGAAATTTGTGATTGGCCGATTCCTTAACTTCAAAATGGTTGATTCCAAGACCGTGCTAAGGCATGTAGAAGATTTGCAATTAATCTTCGACGAGATTCGGATGAGGGCATGGTGTTGAGTGAACCGTAGTACGTTTTATCGTGGGAAACCTAGGCTACAACGTTCCTAGCACTTTTGGGAGGTAGCAAATAAGGTTTTAAGGAAAGAGTGATTCGCTCGACTCGTGGTAACCACCTACACCAACCCGAACGATCGATATCCCTTCGTCCTTTTCTTCCCAAAATCTCCACATAATAATAATCCTTTTTTGGTAGGATTATTGTTGGGTTTTTCCAACGTTATTTTCCCTACAAAAACTAATGAAATTTGCCTGTATATATAGGTTGTAGATACAAGTATACATACAAGTATTTTGAAAATTTTGTACACTGGTTTTGGCCATTTACCTCTTTTATTAAGGCTATCCACATTTTTGCGATATTTTCTGGATCACTTTCAGAAGTGAATGTGTTTGTGTTAATCTAAAGGTTCCAATCCCAACATATAATGGTAGGCCAAATTATGTAGGACACTTTGATTCAGAAAACAAGAGTGAATTCCCTTTTGGTTCTAGACTTATTTGTGGCTTGGACAATTTTAGTTCCCATACAAAATTTTGCCACATTTTGGACACCTTGACCGTCTGAGAGGAGGTATTTCTATCAATTCAGGTTATCTCCTTCTCTATATTATATCTTTGCGTTCTCAGCTCTCTTGATTTCAGATTCAATGAAGGAATTTTATCTCAGCCACAATTCGAAGCACTAAGTCGAAGAGATTCGAAGTCCCAATCAAAGTCAATCCTACCTACTTCGAAGAAATTGGAAAGCACTTAAATGGAATAATCTAAAGGAGGAAAATGTAACTCTGTCAGTTTTTCAATTACAAGGAGATCGAAATTGACCTCATACGTTGTGAGCATATGTGCACGTAAAAGTAAACTATTGTGATATATATACAATTTACCTTTTTTACTAAGACTCCATAGCAATGACAAATGAAAGCTCTCGGATCAGAATTAGATTCAATTCTTTTAATTAAAAGAGGAGCATATATAGATAAGTTGACATAATTGTAACCATTTCACAGTAGAATTGTAGTGGGGGTATAGTAAAAGATGGTCTGACATGTCGCAAACATGTGTCATATGATAAGAGGGTGGTTAGGGTTGCATCATTACAGACGATCCTATGAATTATCTTTCATTACTTCTTTTTAAGGATAGATGCTAATAGCATTGAATTGAGATAGTGAGATCCTAAGTATTACATAAAGTAGTGAAGATACTTTGCTTTTTCTTGTGTTTGATGTAAGGATGGGCAGGTGGCAATTGGGCAGAGAGGGATCATAGCTAGGCTGGGACTTCAATACTACGTACATTGCTATGGTGG